TATTTCTTTTATAAACAATAATTTATTAATATTATATATTTGGTCATTCAGAATTTTTAGATTTAGGAACATTCTCCCATAATATACCAAGAAGTCAAATCTGATAATCGTGATGCCCAATGGATAGGTCTTTGTGGATCTTATACATAAAATCTAAATAAATTTAAGTATTTAAATAATCATAAAAATACAAAGATAACCCATCATATTAATACCATATCTGCCATTAAATAGTAATTATTCTATGAATAATTAATGAAAAGAAGACTATTCGAGAGTTTTTATTACTTTTTATTTACTGATGTATGAGACAATTTTTGAACAGTTGTTTGTAATTAAATCTATTAAAAAAGTTAAAAAGATTTATTCTTATCTTTTTATTTTTACCAAAGTTAGATATCTATTTAAATTAAATTATAAATCTAAAGTTTGATTAAACTACAATAAAACCTATTATCATCCTTTTTTTACTTTCCCAACTTTTCATCCAAGGTGAACTTTAAAATAATAATAAAATAAATTATAAACTTATTTTAAAAGATTATAAAACCTTTATCATTATTTTAAAGCTCACCTCAGATAAAAAATCAAAAAATTAAAAAAAAATAACAATGGTTTTTATTATAGTTTTATCAAATTTTATATTTTTAATATAATTTAAAGTTGTTTGTAATGTTAAATTCATTCAAAAATGCTTTTAGCTTATAATTATTGATATATCAATAATTATAAGTATTTTGGAATAACATCAACAAATAAATATAAAACATATTATTAAAAACTTTGATTTCTTTATTATAAGATGTTTTCATTTTACTTGTGTTATCTATTACAAGATATCTTTTATAATAGTCCATGTTTTAATCATTTATCTTTTACTTTCAAATATGATAATAATAATGAGAAAATTTATAATTTCAGCTTTTAGAATTAAATATCTAAATTGTATTTAGTTGCATTAATATTTTAACTACATAGATAATAATAAGTTTTTCTTAAAGTAAAAAGTTAAGTTTTCTAACTAGCAATCAGAAATAAAACTATTTATTAAAATTTATTAAAAAGTTTTGATTTACTGAAGGCGAAATTCAAAGACCAATAGCATATTTCAGAAAATTTTAATATATTCTTTTGTAACTGACAGCAAAATATTTCAGAGAGCTTGCACAAGTGAAAGAAAGCATCACCACAAGTATTAGTAACCAAAGAAAATAAATTAATGATACAGTTTGCTTTTTCTATTCACAGTTATTTTTTCTACTAAAATTAATCAAATGCATTCCGAATATAAAAAACAAAATAATCAGGATAGAATTTAGAGATGTAGGAAATGAAACTACATAGAATAAAAAATTTCAAGATTGATAAATCATCATCAAAAAGCACATTTGTGTATTCTTAAACAAATAATTTATGAAGTTAGTGCAAAAAGATAATTTTTCCCCACTAACTTGTTTTGCTTTTTTTCCAAACTGCAACTGGTCAACAGAAAACATATGTTGGCCTTCATCAATTTTACTTGAACACTCCTGTCATAGATAATGGACATAAAATGTAGAATACACATATTGACAATCAAATTTTGAAAGGCAAAATTATCATCATATTTCATGCATACCATTTAAACAAAACTAAAAAAATTGAAAAAAAAAATAAACGTAATCAAGTTTTTAAATTTTACTCCTAGAAAAATTATTATTAAAATCTTGGAAAAATTCTTTGAAATTATTATATAAACTCTTTTATGTTCTAATTACTTATGAAATTATGCAATTTTTAAACAATTATTAATAATTATAAAACAATTTCAAATTTTATTTTTTGTTATATTATTTCTTATTTAATAAATTATCAATTTGTTCAAGACTAACAATATAGTAACTGACAAGTTTTAAAAATATATTAACATGTAACTGTACTATTAAATAAAAATTAAATGGTTTAATTAATCAAAGCAGATTTTTATAAAACAAATGGTAGTAATCTTTAAATAAATTTCCTGTTGAATAATAATGGTTATTTAAAAATTAATATTTTCACCATTTACATTGTTTCGTCTTGTTTTATCATCTATAAATACGATGTATTGCATTTGACAGATTCGATNAAAAATTTTACAGTGAATTCCCATTTTAATATTTAAATTAAATTTATGCACACTGAAAATAAGTATGGCAGCATATTGAAAACTCTAATTAAACAGATTGTTTAGTTCAGGAAGTCACATATGTTTATTTACTAAAAAAATTCAGCTATTATTCTGACCATCCGTAAGTGAAGGTGACCACAATAACAGCTAAAATTCATGTCTTTTAGTAACATGTTGAATACTATCTTTTACTGGATGCTATTTATTTATTAACATAATTAATCATTCCACAATCATGTTAACACATGAAAAATATTTTTAAGATATAGATGTGATTTAATGTTAACAATATGCTATGAAATCATTATTTAACTCAAGTTTATGAAATTATTTAAAGATAAATCAAGTAAAAAAATATTTTTGTAAACACTCCATAACCCGATCGTTAATTAAAATCAAATAATCTGCCAAATTATTGGGCTGTAACAAGGATAACTAAATGGTTAGAAACGAAATAATTTGTCTAGTGGTAGGAAGTTACGCTATTATCTTGTGTTAATTTTAATAATTATATATTTTGAATTTAAAAGCAACAGCAGTGTTGTCAGCTTGAGAGGGTAATCCCTCCGCCTAGTGTTTTTTCCCTACAGAGGGATTTTCTTAGAAAACAGCAAAAAACGCAGGGATGCTTAGAATACTTATTTTTAAACTCCGTACAAGGAAATGTAATTTGGAAGAGGTAGATTTTGGCAAATAATGAAAATATAAGTTAGAATTTCTAGTCTTTGAAATTTTAAAGATTATGCCATACTGAATGCTTAAAGATAAAATGTATTTTCGTGCATTAAAATTCTACTAATAAATTTTTTTTTAAGTTAGAATTCAAAATTAAACCCATCTTGTATGTCTAAAATACATATTTCATTTACATTTCACAACACGTTTCAATATATTATTTATTTTGCAAAATTATATTAAATTGGAAAATCACTGATTTTTCTTATTAATTAATCACTAAAGGAAAAACTACCAAGAAGAAACAAAATCTAAGAGAGTGCAATATTAAATTTTTGTGAAAGCCAAACCCATTCCAGAGAATAAAAATAAAAAGATAGGTAGAAAATTATTAGCCACAATAAATCATATTTTAATATATAAAATATTTACATTTAACTTTTTTAAAATAAAACTGTAAACTTCAATAATAATAGTATAAAAATTCTACAGTAATTTAGTTGTTACTAAAAACTTGAATACTACAATAGTAATAATAAAAATACAATTCTTGTTTAATTCTATAAGCTGAAACTTTCAATAGACATATATGTAAAATAATTCAGACATACATTTTCATAGTTACTTAGAAATAATAACTTTTTTCATTGATGATGTGAAATGTATAATTTAATTTTTTTAATTAAAAAAGCAAATATTTTCATTTTAAACAGCCCAAACTTTATTATTTCTTTTATAAACAATAATTTATTAATATTATATATTTGGTCATTCAGAATTTTTAGATTTAGGAACATTCTCCCATAATATACCAAGAAGTCAAATCTGATAATCGTGATGCCCAATGGATAGGTCTTTGTGGATCTTATACATAAAATCTAAATAAATTTAAGTATTTAAATAATCATAAAAATACAAAGATAACCCATCATATTAATACCATATCTGCCATTAAATAGTAATTATTCTATGAATAATTAATGAAAAGAAGACTATTCGAGAGTTTTTATTACTTTTTATTTACTGATGTATGAGACAATTTTTGAACAGTTGTTTGTAATTAAATCTATTAAAAAAGTTAAAAAGATTTATTCTTATCTTTTTATTTTTACCAAAGTTAGATATCTATTTAAATTAAATTATAAATCTAAAGTTTGATTAAACTACAATAAAACCTATTATCATCCTTTTTTTACTTTCCCAACTTTTCATCCAAGGTGAACTTTAAAATAATAATAAAATAAATTATAAACTTATTTTAAAAGATTATAAAACCTTTATCATTATTTTAAAGCTCACCTCAGATAAAAAATCAAAAAATTAAAAAAAAATAACAATGGTTTTTATTATAGTTTTATCAAATTTTATATTTTTAATATAATTTAAAGTTGTTTGTAATGTTAAATTCATTCAAAAATGCTTTTAGCTTATAATTATTGATATATCAATAATTATAAGTATTTTGGAATAACATCAACAAATAAATATAAAACATATTATTAAAAACTTTGATTTCTTTATTATAAGATGTTTTCATTTTACTTGTGTTATCTATTACAAGATATCTTTTATAATAGTCCATGTTTTAATCATTTATCTTTTACTTTCAAATATGATAATAATAATGAGAAAATTTATAATTTCAGCTTTTAGAATTAAATATCTAAATTGTATTTAGTTGCATTAATATTTTAACTACATAGATAATAATAAGTTTTTCTTAAAGTAAAAAGTTAAGTTTTCTAACTAGCAATCAGAAATAAAACTATTTATTAAAATTTATTAAAAAGTTTTGATTTACTGAAGGCGAAATTCAAAGACCAATAGCATATTTCAGAAAATTTTAATATATTCTTTTGTAACTGACAGCAAAATATTTCAGAGAGCTTGCACAAGTGAAAGAAAGCATCACCACAAGTATTAGTAACCAAAGAAAATAAATTAATGATACAGTTTGCTTTTTCTATTCACAGTTATTTTTTCTACTAAAATTAATCAAATGCATTCCGAATATAAAAAACAAAATAATCAGGATAGAATTTAGAGATGTAGGAAATGAAACTACATAGAATAAAAAATTTCAAGATTGATAAATCATCATCAAAAAGCACATTTGTGTATTCTTAAACAAATAATTTATGAAGTTAGTGCAAAAAGATAATTTTTCCCCACTAACTTGTTTTGCTTTTTTTCCAAACTGCAACTGGTCAACAGAAAACATATGTTGGCCTTCATCAATTTTACTTGAACACTCCTGTCATAGATAATGGACATAAAATGTAGAATACACATATTGACAATCAAATTTTGAAAGGCAAAATTATCATCATATTTCATGCATACCATTTAAACAAAACTAAAAAAATTGAAAAAAAAAATAAACGTAATCAAGTTTTTAAATTTTACTCCTAGAAAAATTATTATTAAAATCTTGGAAAAATTCTTTGAAATTATTATATAAACTCTTTTATGTTCTAATTACTTATGAAATTATGCAATTTTTAAACAATTATTAATAATTATAAAACAATTTCAAATTTTATTTTTTGTTATATTATTTCTTATTTAATAAATTATCAATTTGTTCAAGACTAACAATATAGTAACTGACAAGTTTTAAAAATATATTAACATGTAACTGTACTATTAAATAAAAATTAAATGGTTTAATTAATCAAAGCAGATTTTTATAAAACAAATGGTAGTAATCTTTAAATAAATTTCCTGTTGAATAATAATGGTTATTTAAAAATTAATATTTTCACCATTTACATTGTTTCGTCTTGTTTTATCATCTATAAATACGATGTATTGCATTTGACAGATTCGATCTATAAATATATATGTATTGAATTATAACTTAATGTATACTAGTGTTATATAATACACCTTTAAAATATATGGATAATCTTATTTAAATCTAGTAAAATCTCAGTTAAATACTATGATATGAATATCCTACAAATTTTTTCCTGGTTTAGTTAATAAATATATAATTATATATGTATAAAAAAAAAAAGATATAATAGTAAATATGAATAAAATTTTGAATTTCGAAAGTTATAAAACCTCAGCTAATTAAATTATGAGAAAAAGCTTATTATAGTACATGTTAATTAAATTTCCAAATTACAAAAATTGAAAATGAAATCTGTCGAGTAACAAATTCTCAAACTCCTAGTTGATATTAAAATTTTTCTCCATAGACTGTAGCTTAAATAAATCACTCAACAGATGCCTTTTACTATCTTCAAAAAAATTATCTTTAATATGAAAATTTATTAATAACAATAAAGTTTGATTTCTTAAGTTAATTTGTTTTTTCATATATATTATTAGTTAATATTAAATTCTATATCATATTAAATTTATTTAAATAAGTAAGTATTAAAAACTTTTAAAATCTAATAGGAAAAGTTTATTAAACTTTACTGAATTTAAAAAATTTTGAATATTTATTTATTCATTTGTTCATTTGAGTTACTATAAATTTTACTTTAAAAAAATATTCAGAATGTTAAAGACAACAAAATTGTAAAAATTGTAAAAGTCAGATATCTGTCTATAAGTATAATTATTTTTACATAACAAATATTAATATAAAAAATAAAATATTGTACCGTTTTTATAATAGATATTTATTTAAATATATATTAAAAGTATTTAAATTACTGACAATTAATTTTTAAAGCTATCATTCTGTTTTAAGAATTGATATTTTCTATACTATGCATTTATAAACTAAAATTAAATATTGTGTATGTTTACAAAAAATTAATTAATTAATAATATCTCCAGTTGTAATTTTAAGGAGTATATAAAATTTAATTTTTTTTAAAGAAAAGCTTAAATTAATAAATGGATTTTGATTTTATTATGTACAAAAACAAAAATTATGAAATAGAATTTACATATTTCTTGTATAATAATAATTTAAAAATTTATCTTATAGTTCAATGTAAATTATTTTTTGATTATCAATTCTATTTGATTTAAATTAATAATTACTGCTTTTAAAAATGTTTTAAAGTAATTTCTAAAAGGATCTTCAATAAACTTTAAAAAAACTCATAAAAATTATTTGTGTAATTAAAGTTAAATTCTTACACCTTATAATACTTACAACAAAAGTGCCCAACGTTTCTATTATGACAGTTCTTGCTGGCGGTGATGATGAAGCTGCTACTTTTTTGCCTACAGCTGTTTGAGATGATTTTCCTTTAGGAGCAGTTCTTGGGTGACCCTTAGGATTAGAAATTGAAGGTGCAGGCACTGGAGGAGGAGTCAATGATGCTGGTGGAGAAGCTGGTATTTGTTCTACTTGTAGTGGCGGAGATGGTGTTTTGACCACAGGAATATCAGGTACATTCTCCACTTCTGGGCTTGATGAACTTGATGGAGGGGAGCTTGTACCAGTTTTGGATAATGATTTAATCACACTAAATTTATATATATTAAATAAATACAAATAGCCATAACATTTTCAAAATTGAAATATTTTAATTGTCACTATTTGAGAGTTTAAGCATCATCATTTAAGCTTTCAGATAGTGAAGGATATTCATTATATCTATATATAGATTTTTATTCTTATTGCAAGAAAACCAATTTCCATAAATTACATTCCATCAAATTATATCAATCCAATGTTAGTTTTTGTAAAGATTTTAGAATGTTTGTACATAAGATTAAATGTTGATAATCTCCAAAATTAATATTTAAAAGTAATTTTTTTTATTTATTATTCAAATTTGTTATANCAGGCATATATATAATTGTTAAGATCAAGTTCAACAGAGATCACCCATTTTACTCACTAAAGAAAAACAAAATCTTCACTTTATATAAGTGAAGTTTTTAATATATATATATGCAGATTGGCCAATTTATTATGACCATCTACTTAGTACATTGTAGGGTCACTTTTTGCTTGCAATACTGCTGCAGTTCTTTTTTTGCATGAACTCTTATGAGATATTGGCAAGTGGTTTGAGAAATCTGATACCATATCTGATAAACTGCATTTTCCAATTCTTTAAGAATGGATGGTTCTGAATCCAACTGCCTGATGTTCCTTTCAACCTCATTTCACAAATGCTCAATTGATTTGAGCATTCAAATGTTTTACACATGCCTTATGTTAAGGCCCGCTTTTTCTTTGGTAGTCCACTCTTTGTACATATAAACAACAGCCATTCTCAAACACTTCATATGCAAAGCAGTTTTGCTGATACTCACTCCACTGTTTCTAGTACCCACAATCATTCCATGTTCAAAGTCTGTTAAATCAGGTCTTTTACCCATACCTTCACATGCAATTCCCTACAACTGTCTGTACAATCATCCAGCAATCCATTTTTCCTTTTTTATACCAATCTCGTCCTCTGGACAATAGTGCACCATCATAGCTGATTTGCATAAACTTTTGCAGATGGTCATAATAAATTAAATTATATATATAATATAACTACTGATACTTGTTATTCATTTTGTTGCAATTATTTTTAGTTTATTTTTCAAATTATACAATCAAGTGCATTTTTCTTCTTTTTCTAAATAAGACTAGTAAAAGAATATGTGTAATGTATCAATATACTACACATATTCACTGTTGAAATGTATTGATTAATAAAGTACCAATACATTTCAACAGTGGATTCCATTAGAGGAATATGAATAGATATGAGATTCTGTTCATGACTGAAGATAGCTTGTTAATTCAACTGAAAATATTAATGTTTCTCCAACCTTACCCTACTATTAGAGGTATATTGGTTACTTACTTAAATTAACTGCTGTGGCTAATTTGATTTTTATAATGCTACTTTATTATGTTAACAATTTATGTTTCAATAAGATACTTCATATTTTGATTCTAATGTTTCATTTTAAGATGTGAAATGTCAATGCTAATATCAAGCACTTTTACTAAATTAGAAATATCAACTCAAGATATATTAACAAAAATTTTGAATTTGACAGATAACTGACTTAAAATTTGATAGTCCGAAAATGTTAGTTATGTTTAAATAAATGTTCTCAGCAATTTAAGGTGTAGTTGGGTGATGTAAATGTTGCAGCCATTCAGTTTACTGGTTATCAAAATGAGCCAGTTAACTGTAATTATGTACAAAATATAAGATTTTTAGACTAATATTTGAAACAATAAACTAGAAACTTTGTTCTAAAAATCATTATTTTTATGATACTGAAGTGATAGCCAATCAAAATCAGATTTACGCTAGAAACAGATTTTTAAATTATTTATTCCAATTTAGTAATATCATTGACTACACATTTTATAAATGTCTGTGATATGTGAATATAAGTTTCTCTTTCAAAGAAATTACTTATAATACTTTCCATTTTCTTAAATTACTTTATAGAAAATGCATAGTGAGAACTGAGATCTTCATTTAAATAACAAAATATCAGATCATACTCACAAACAAAGAATAAAGTATTTTAACAATGTTTGGAATTATTGCTGAGAACATTTTAATAGTCTCAAAATTCATAAAAAATTACTGCAACACCCATCAGATGATTACAATCTATAGTGATTCATTTCTGCAATATAATTTTAAACATGGATTATTCTTATATTTGATTTCAATTTTTATCACAAATACTGTTTAATTAAAGTTTTCTATATTGTCAGAGCTTATCACTTAATTTTTAGTAGTTTATTTGCTGCCTTGGTAATAGTTACTAGTGGTGCTTCTCAAAAAGATCTGGTCCATATGGCAGTATTATCTCCCCTCCCAAGTCATGAAGATAGAAGTATAACCTGTTTCCTTAGAAGCTAACAGGGTACAAGAGGAAACATGAAGGAGATGGAAAACATGAGTGAGAATAGAGTTTTAGGGCAGAAAAGAGGCAGAAGAAAAAGAGAAAAGAAAAAGTAAAACACCATTCCAGCCAGCACTGAAGTTAGAGTGGACCATGAAGGTTGGATCTCTAACAATTAAAATGAATTTCTCCTATCTTACATTGTTGGAACTATCAGTTTTTTTTTATTTATGTTGTTTTCATTTTTTGTCTTTTTTGTATATATTAAATAAATGTATTTAAAAGTCTATAGAGATTTAGGTTCATCTAGGTTGAATAAATTATCACAGGCATATATATAATTGTTAAGATCAAGTTCAACAGAGATCACCCATTTTACTCACTAAAGAAAAACAAAATCTTCACTTTATATAAGTGAAGTTTTTAATATATATATATGCAGATTGGCCAATTTATTATGACCATCTACTTAGTACATTGTAGGGTCACTTTTTGCTTGCAATACTGCTGCAGTTCTTTTTTTGCATGAACTCTTATGAGATATTGGCAAGTGGTTTGAGAAATCTGATACCATATCTGATAAACTGCATTTTCCAATTCTTTAAGAATGGATGGTTCTGAATCCAACTGCCTGATGTTCCTTTCAACCTCATTTCACAAATGCTCAATTGATTTGAGCATTCAAATGTTTTACACATGCCTTATGTTAAGGCCCGCTTTTTCTTTGGTAGTCCACTCTTTGTACATATAAACAACAGCCATTCTCAAACACTTCATATGCAAAGCAGTTTTGCTGATACTCACTCCACTGTTTCTAGTACCCACAATCATTCCATGTTCAAAGTCTGTTAAATCAGGTCTTTTACCCATACCTTCACATGCAATTCCCTACAACTGTCTGTACAATCATCCAGCAATCCATTTTTCCTTTTTTATACCAATCTCGTCCTCTGGACAATAGTGCACCATCATAGCTGATTTGCATAAACTTTTGCAGATGGTCATAATAAATTAAATTATATATATGTATAGNTCTGAAAACATTTTTTTTTATTAAAAATTATGATATGTTACAATTTTTATTTAAATTCAAAAAATTAACATGAATAATTAATTAATATGTATGTATATATATATATATATATATATATACATACATATTAATTAATTATTCATGTTAATTTTTTGAATTTAAATAAAAATTGTAACATATCATAATTTTTAATAAAAAAAAATGTTTTCAGAAGTTTCTATTATCATCATAAATTCCATTAATAGGATAACAAAATAGAATGTAACTATTCTACTGGCAGAACTGACAATTTTTCTTGTTAAAAATTTATTTTGATAAAAAAATTATGATTTTTATTTGTGTTTATCTATTAAAAAGTCATCTGAAATTAAATGATTATGGATTTATTATCCTATATTATAATTGGGTTTTTGTCAGATATAATTTATACTAAAATAAAAATGGATGAGATGTACTGTACTTCACATCACATGTACCAATGCAGATGAAGAAGAAATCAGTTTTCTGCTTTTAACACTGAAAATATGAATTCTTCTTTATCTGCATTAATGTATGTATGCCTAATATTATCTAACTTCTTTTAGAAATGAAATCATCCATTGGCATAGCTTTTTAGTCTCCTTCAAGTTGATGCTTTAGTCTTGTGGATAACACAAGACTAAAGCATAAGCTCGTTTTTTAAAATGATATATAGGAAATCCAATCTTTATTTTACAAAGTCCAGATTAGTTCTAGAATGTATAAAGTTCAACACCAAATCTTTTCCAATATCTATCAGAATTATCTACATTAATCGAGGAAAAAGTTTAGTTGCTCAAACAAAAACATTCCTATACACTATATCTGTTATTTACATCCAATTATCAATTAAAACTGCTTTCACATGATTTGGGTGTTTGTCCATTCAGGTAAATACCTGGATAGGCAGTGCACATATGTTGTTTTCAGATAACATCTGGCTGAAATCCTGGTTTCTCCCCACACTGAAAATTATTGTCTCCTTGTCCTTCCCTTGTTATAAAATTTTATTTCTGCTGCATTCAAAATCCTCCTTCAAGTCTACACAAATGTTTTTTCATGCTTTCCTGGTTTTATTCCTGTCCTTGTATTATTCCACTGATTAGTCTTCATCTCCAAATGTTTCTCCACTAAACTTAAAAAATTTGTATCATCCACATGAGCTATTACAAAAGATTAAAAAAACTACAAAACATTTTGTGACTTTGATTTTCTACTGTAAACAGATTAAAAAACTACAAAACATTTTGTGACTTTGATTTTCTACTGTACTGCCTGGAGAGCTGAGAAAAAGTTCTGTGAAAAAGAAGCTAATCAAAGGTGTCAGGGCAATCATTTGATCGTGTGAAGACATGCATTTTCTCCAGTGTTACACTAGGTTGCAACATGGACAAATGTTCTTGCTGGGCTCACAAACTGCTAGTGAAGAAATCAATTGTAGCTTTGTTGTCTGGATGGAGATTTCACCATTTCTGTGTGGTGTGAAAAGTTTCATACCTCACTATGCACTTTTACTCATCTGGGTGACATTCAATGTCCAAGGGGTTTAGTAATCCAGAAGATACCCAGATTGTGTGAAAGTGGCCTAAGCATCATAATTCACATTCAGTCTGTAATATATGATTTATTTAAATATACACAATATAGATCAGAAAATCCAAAATGAATTTCCAAAACATATATTTGATTCTTTATTCTGTAGAAAGTTTCTTTTGAAAACCTATTTGTCTATTTGTTATTAGTTTCTCTACATTTCACTAGTTTAGATTAGATTTACATATTTAGGAATAACATCTTTAAATTTATTGTATCTTTTTTACTTACACAAAGTTTGACAATAAGAAATTTAATTCAAAAAATATCATTATCTATTAAATTTTCTTGCTGTCTAAAGCTTTAATTCATGAAGAGGGGAACAGAAAAAAAAACTCTTAAACTGAAGAGATTAAAACTCAATTATGAAACAGTCTATAAAAATATTAAATTAACAATATTTTGAAAATAAAATTAAAATTAAAAAATACTAGGAGAATATCAACAATTTTTAGTTATTGAATTTTCAATCCTGATTATTAATATATTTTTGAAAATATAAATATTTTGTTAAGGCTATTTGAAATGCATATTCAAATTCATTTAAAAAATTATTTTACTTTATGAATATTCATGCTTTATATTTCTTTAAATGTTATAATAAATTTATAATATTTTTGGCATAAATTAAAAAAAAAATAGACAACAAATAAAATAAGAAATGCACATTTCTGCTATTACAAAAATAAAATGTAAACCAAGTTTTATGAAAATTATCAAATGTATTAAAAATGAATCTATTTTAATTTACTGAAATGACAGATTCATGGTGTTAAATGAATTCTATATCATTAAAGTAAATTGAAATAAATGGGCAGAACAACATAATAAATCTTGTCATGCAGAATCCACATATGAAAATGAATTAGAAAAGGGGGAAATGAGAGAAACAAGAGCAGAGTTCTCATGCATTTTCATTAAACATTCCTTAGGATTAAAACTTTTATGCAATTCATTCCAACAACATTTGAGTTATATTCTGAAAATGCAGGTTCAAAATAAACAATTAACGATTTTAAAAAATTTTATAATAAGCTAGATACTTTTGCTTTTATTAATTTATTTCAGACTTTGAAGCTATTAGAAATATTAGAATTAAATTCATTAAATTATAATTATTATTTTATTTTTTCTTGTCAGGCAAATCATAATTTTAAAATATATTTTAATAAATGCTGTTATTTAATAATTAATTAATTTCAGGTTTTTCATTCACTTTATTACAAAGTAAACAGCAAGGTTTAAATTAGAGAAAAATGGAAAGTATTAATAGCAGACTATGGTAGAACCATGCAATATAAAATACCTAATGATATAAATACAGGCAAAAAATAAATTAGTTTTTGGGAAATAAAATAATGAAAATCTTATTCATCAAAGATAAAATATTAGAGTAATTAAGATATAATAAACAAGCACTATAAAGGCAATCATTCTATACAAGGCTTAAGTTACATAATAATGTATAATAAAAAGCCAAATTATTTAAAATATATTTTTTGTGTAAATTATAATTCAACAAATACATACATTTTGGTTGAAGTTGCAGAATTTCCACCCAATTTAAAAGTAATTTTCGGAATGCTATTATCATCTTTTGGTTGCTAATAAAAATAAGATACAAATATATATATATATATTTTTTACCTCTATGTCTTTTTAAATATTTATGATTTATATCAAAATATTTAAAAATTAAATTTCATTATGTTTAAACTTATTTGCATTCATTTACAGATAAATGAATGCAAATAGGTATATAGTAGAGAATTATATTTTTGAATCAATATAAACCTAATTGTTAACAATTTCTTCATTACATTTACTTAAAGATTAAATTCAGAATACCTTTTCTTCCTTCTCCTTTGTTTTTTTCTTTTCTTTTTCATTTTTAAGTTTATTCTTCTTATCTGATTTCCCCTTCTCAATTTTATCTTTAGGTTTAGCTTTCTCCTTTAATTTCTCTTTTCCTTTCTTCTTGGATTTGTCCTTTTTATCTACCTTTTCCTTTTTCTCTTTCTTCTGTTCCTTTTCTTTTTTCTCTTTAATCTAAATATTAAATGACATATAAATTTCATTTTATTACCAAAAATGTTTATGATTAATGATTTTCCTTAAATAAGATTTAATCAATCAAATTTGTTCATTATAAAGTGCAAATATAATTTAAAAATTAATATTAGATTTAAAAATTTAATATATGTATATAAATTATAAAATATCAGATATTTATAGATTTCTTATTTTTAAAAAAGATTAACTCAATAACAAATAAACTTAAGAAACTCAATTAGTTTCTGCAAAGAATAAATATAACATTTCATTTACAATAAAAAATAAATGTTAGTTAACACTAAAATTTAGTAGAGTGAACTAAACATAATGGTTATAACTTATGTATATCTTAATTTCAGTCCAACAACTTTAAAATTCTAAACTTAAGAAAGAAAAATGAATGAAAAACTGTTCTCAATTATTATTATTTTTTTTGGAATTATTAAGTAAAAATTGATATGCAGTAAAATATGGGTTTTATTAACACTGGATTTAGCAGAAACTTGTACTTAACCAAAGTATCCAGTACCAGCATAATAATAAGATTATTAATGCATTTTTATTCTAATTAAGAGGCTACTTCCTTCTGTGGACAATGGACAAAAATTTCCTGTTTTCTATTCTTCAAAATCTCTGTTAAGTGGACAGTATCAAAAAATTGAAAGATTGACATCAGCATTTCTCTCTTGCAAAATAAAATGGAGATATTAAGGAATTTTGAGAATTTTAAAAAGAAATGAATAGCAAAATGAATAAAATCAGTTGTGTTGGAATGTTTGGTTAACAATAAAAAATGTATAAAATTACTTGTAATGGCGATGACATGAATTAACAAGAGATTGCTGGAATGAATGATAGGTTAATGATTAAGTATGTAAATAGGGTCAAGTGGGCATATGCATGTAATGTCACCCCAACCACACTATAAGATAGAGGTGAAATGAAGGATTGAACAAGGTGGTGCTAAGGCTCAAGCTAGATTGACAAAAGGCTTTCCAGTTCCAGTGACTACATAGTTTCTTGGTTACAGTTAGACAAATTTGTAAAATTCATTGTGATTTTTCAATATCTTTTCATATTTTGATTGTCAGTTTTGTGAATATAGTTATAGTTTAATTTGTAAGTCCCCAATTGTCAGGAAAGTTTTTGTATATATTTACTTTTTGGATTTTTGATAAATCATCTTTATTATATTTTGCACATTTTTTTCTCCAACATTATTTCATTATTGTACATATTCAGGCTTTTACTAATAAATAGATTTTTTTTACATTATATATAGTAATTATTTCAGGTTTTGGGGGGGGCGCTTCTGTCTGCCGAAGCTGCTGGCACGTTTTATTACTCACTTCAATCACAGGTAAAGAACGTATCCTGACAAATAATTTTACGTTAAATTTTTTGTTTGTGCTGTATGGAACCATTATAAGTACTGGAAAATTTATCAATATAATTAATATGCAACGTTCGCCAACTAAAAGAGGAAGACCACCACGTCAAAAGGCAAAATCAATTAGTAGAAAGGAAACTGCTTCGACCACTAATATTATGTTAATCACAGATTGTAATGAACACGTAGAAAGAACTTCTCCTGAACCACTCTCTGCAAATGCAGGTTTGAACCCTGAAACATCACTTCTAAGTTCACAAATATCAGGTGAGCCATTTGATTTTTTATCTTCACCAGGAAAATTGGAAAATTCATCTGATATGTCGGGTTTGACACTATGGAATAAAATTTCCGAATTAATTAATGTTTCTAACACGAGAATTTTAAATCAAATGACTATTATTAAAGAAGATTTGGACCAGATTCGTAATAGTATTCAAGAAACTAAGGATCAGAATCAGAAAATTAATAGCCAAATAATTAATCTTGAACAACAAATTGTTAATTTGAAAATAGAAAATGAAAGTATGCACTATCGAATGGACAATATGGTTAATGTGCAACATCGTAATAATATAATGTTTTATAGATATCCTAGTAAAACCAGTCCTACCAAGTTAGAAGTGTTTAATCTTATTAAAGAATCATTTGAATTACATGAAGTTACAATGGATGATCTAATAGCGATTATTCCAATAACTAAATCACAGTATCCAACAATTAAATTAATTATTAAAAATTCTCAAATAAGAGATTATATTTATTCGAGTTTTATAAAAATGAAACAACAAAATCTATCGAATCTATGGAAAGAAACTCAAATTTCACAGGACCTCACTAAAAGATCTAGATTAAGACGAAAACAATTAATTCCTTTTTTAAGCGAGTTAAAGAAAGCAGGTAAATATCCTAAACTCCGAGGTGATTCTATTCTGTTGGGCAATTATTCTTTGACGTATAGCTATGTGTTGGAGGAGCTGGTATACTCGGATTCTTTTACCCCGTTTTCTACTTCTGAGAATACTCTGCAATGACATATTATTAATTTAAATACACCTATCCAAGACTTACGCTTTGTGGAGACTCAAATTTCAAGTCCTTTGTCTGCTGCAAATAATAAATGAAAGTTTACACGATATTGCGTACAATTAAAAAGTCTCCCATTTTGAAAAATGGAAGAAATTATATATACCTAAAAAAGAAATAATTACATTATTGTTTATTTATTGATTAATAAATTAGAAATAAATAACCTGACATAAAATTTTGGTTAAAATTATGGTAAATGTACTTCTCGAACAACAGCAAATACTATTTGAAGTTTTTCGTACATACGAAATTTTGAGAAGCTCTATTCTTTTTGTTGTTATAACTGGAGATTTAAATGCTATATTGTACAGTTCATGATTTTGCTATATAAAGGACCTAACGTTATAAATTAAAACATTCGTAAAGCCAAAGATGTTAAACAGACTAAAATGGATTGTAACTTTCTAAAATTAACGACTCAAGCTCAATTATATATGTTTAATGGCAGAATTGAAAAGGTCTTGCCTTCTGAATTTATTATGTATTCACTTCGGGAAGCTCTATTATCGATTTGTTTATATGTTTAGTATTTCTAGTGGATTTATGTTTGGAGATTCAGGTATTATATTGTGATTTATCAGACCAATTTTCTGTTAGTTCGTTCTTTGGATTGAAAGAATTGTATCATATTGATTGTGTTATACCGAAGTATCAGATAATTGTCTATCAATATCAATGATATCAAGTCTTCTGAAGAACTGGATTTATTTATTCGTAAATTTAAATATTAATACAGATCTTGGAATGGATATAATTACCATTAATTTTATTAATCTTCTACCGCCAGCGGGTAGGCAAGTTCATCTTGATATTTATAACCATTTTTATAAAATATATATTATTTTTTCACTGAGTGTACAAAGATTGTTGAAGCGCAATGTAAATCTAAATTAAAAGAAACTTATGATTTAAATTAATAGGAAAATTTCAGAACCAATCTAGAAATAATTCTGTTGTGTAAGATGTATAATATTTATAATTTTTTGTTCATATTTTAAAGATTTTGAAATATGATAGTGTAGATTGCATGATTGGTATACTATGTTTATTAAGTTTTATGTAATAGGATACTTAAAACATGTTTAAATGAATATTAATTGTATTCTTGTAATTTTCTAAAGCCAACCCCCCTGTAACAAGACTTTTCTTATTACAATAAAGTATTTGTATAATAATAATAATAATTATTTCAGGTTTTTGATTTAATTTTTTATTTTATTGCCAACACAAAGTGTAAACAAAGGTTTACACTTTGTGTTGGCAATAAAATAAAAAATATACACAAAGTGGTATATACACAAAGTGTAAACAAAGGTTTACACTTTGTGTATATACCAAGTGTAAACAAAGGTTTAAACTTTGTGTGTGGGCAATAAACAAACTATATAAACACCACATAAACAAAGGGTTTGAAGTGCCAGGTTTGAACCTGGCACTTCAAACCCTTTGTTTAAATAATGCCTATTAGAATATTATCCGGGCTTTTGATCTGATGAGTACGACAATACAAATTATTATTATTTTTTAACATAGATCAGCTCACAGTTTCAACATCAAATTCATAAAATAATTTTTTCAGAGATATTTTATTAAGAAAAATTTAAAACAATGAAAATGCATAGTTTAGAGGTAACTCGGCTTATATTAAGTGAAATTACTAGCTACTTGCAAGTATGCAAACACAGTTTACACACACATTAAGTACCAATTGCACTGGGCTAGTAAATTCACTTCCAATTCATTTATTACTTGGTAACAGTAAGGTATATAGTGCTGCAGTGTTGTCAGCAATGGCATAATCCACTACACAATGATTTTTAGTCTGTTTGACCAATGTAATGATGATAATGTAAAATTAATCCAAAAGTAGTGACATTGTTAGCAGAAATAATTATTTTATATATTTTCAAATTTTAGCCTAAACTATAGAAACCAAAGAAAAAGAAAATCTCTGATTGTAACTAATTTTTCTGTCAGCAACACTAATGTTCTTCCTGTATTGTTAGCTGCTAACTTGTTGATATGTAAAATTACACCACAACACTTTAAGTTGATGAGAAAAATTTATTAAAATGTAACTAATGGTTTCAGTCAAATCAATTGGCCATCCTCAGGTTAATTGAGAAAAAAAATAACAATGTTCCAAAAATAGAATATATAAATTTGAATACAAATACAAAATTAACAGAAAAATTATAACAAAATATAAATATATATATACACTAGCTGTTACCTGCGACTTCGTCCGCGGATGTTTTGCAAGCAAACCCCATTTACATTCAATATTTCAATAACCATAGTAATTGTTAGGTCTATATAACACCTACCGCTGAAGAGAATTGCCGAGAATCAAACGAACTATTTTCAATTTGATCAATTTTCTGGAACGTTTACAATCATTCTATACTTGAACCAATATGCAATAACAAATTCAAATTTAAAACGGTTCAAACATTTTTAAAATCGAAATAGATAAAAATATTTATAACAATGTCTGAAATGTTATCAATTTAATACACCTAAGTACTCAATGAAGACTAAACGTAGATAAAAACAAAAAATCGCATCTAAAATAGTACAGTAGAAGCCGTTCTTCCGGTTAAGCCTTAATCCTCTCCCTCTCCACGGGGAAATTTCGAAAAATTCCTTCTTAGTGTGCATTGCCGTGGCATACCCTACTAAAACGCAGATAAAAACAAAAAATTGCATCTAAAATAGTACAGTAGAAGCCGTTTTTCCGGTTAAGCCTTAATCCTCTCCCTCTCCCCCCACGGGGGAATTTCGAAAAATCCCTTCTTAGTGTGCATTTCCATGATGTACCCTAACTGTCTACCAAATTTCACCTCTCTAGGTTAAGTGGTTTGCTCTGGGCGATGATGAATCAGTCAGTGAGTGAGTCAGTCAGGACAAGCAATTTTATATATTTAGATAAAAATAAAATAAAACAACCAATAGATATAATATTATATATCATGTAATAATATAGTACGAAAAATGCAAAAATAAAAATCAAGACATAAGTTGTGAGCTCTTAAAAAACTTTTTAACTAAGTATTTCCACGCAGATGGTAGCCCTTCTGATAGCATAGCAAGTTTCCTAGTCAAAGAATAAACTCACAAGTGTAGAGCAACAAAAGTAATCTGATCTTCAACTTTACTCACTCAGATAAATCATGTTTACTAGCTCAAGTAATTACATTGAGTGAGTTTAATAGCAGCAAGTAAATGTATCAGTGAGTGATTACTAAACTCACTCAATATGATTGAGCCCTTAGAGAAGAAAAATGCTTTTATTTTTTACATTATTTTTTCTTATCTAATGCTGTAAGAAAAATAAAAAAAACAAAGGAATTTATAATAATTAGTGATAAAAATTTATTTCTTTATCAAACTTACCTTTTCATTTCCATCCTCTAATTTTAATTTCTTGGGTGGATTCAATTCTTCTATACTGTCATCTAATTGTTTATTTGATTTTCCAACTTGCAGAGACTTCTTATCTGAATTTTTTACCGGAACATTTGGTCCTGACATTGCTAAATTCAATGGTTGTGGCGATGGAGGTGCAGGAAAAAAAGGAGTAGGAATTTCTGACCTATGAGGGACAAACAGAGGTGGGGTAGGGAAAGCCACACGAGATGGAAATTGAGCAGGAATAGTGGTAAATGGACTGGAATAAGAAGAAAAAGGATTAACTGTGTGAGGGGATGCAGAAATAAAAGGTGAAGATGAAAAGGGAGAAAGAGCGGGAGGAGGGAGTTGGCACTGAGGAGGTGGGGTAGATTTGAGTGGACTTGTTGAAATAACTGGAAAATCATCATCTATTTCAACAATTTCCTTTCTTTCAGGTGTAGTTAATGTAGGTGTTTTTTTTTCAGTGGGACTTTGAATTGGCACAGGTGTTGGTGTTTTGTTTGTTTTTGGTGAAGATAATGTAGATGGTACTTTTGACTTGGACACAGGCTTTTTCTTTGTTTTATCTTTTGATTTCCCTTTTTTTACTATTTCATTAGTTGAAGCAGAAATATTATCTGGAGTTTTCACCTTTTCTTTTTTATTTCGAATAATAGGTGATCCCATTTCTGGATTCTTTGGAGATAGAGGAGGAGAACTATTTGATGAATCTGTAAAGTCATAAATATCACGGGGCTCTGTTTTTTTAACAGTTGAATTTCTAACTACTTCATCAATTGTTTCATTCATTGCCCTATCATTTTCTTTAGCACTTTTCTCACTTTCTACCATTGCTCTCTGAATTACTGCATCAATACATTCATCTAGCACTGCCATTCTACATTCTTTTTCCTGTCTTGCTTGAGCTTCTGCAGAATCATCAATCACTAACCTAGGTTCTGGAGATTCTTCTCTGGACTCATCAAGTTCATCATAAACTGGTGTAAATTTTTCTTTTTCTTCAGCTTCTGTTTTAAAAGAATGAGATAATGGTAATGGAACTGGTTCTTCTTTTATTGGAGTATTAACTAATGGTTTTAAAGAAGTTGATACTGGTGATTTGATTGATTTTAATGTTTTTGATGCAACAGGTGATTTTGCTCTTGATGGTGATTTAGGAACTTTTAATGATTTTGGAGATTTGGGAATAGAAGTAAATTTATTTATAGAAGAGTTCTTTAATTTATTTTTTGTCTTAATTGATTTTGTACTTTCTTTATTTTTCTTCTCTTCTTTTTGCTTAAATTTATCATTTTTAACTTTCAATGGTTTATCATCCTCATTTTTTTGACATTTTAATAATTTTTTCTTTTGACTAATATCTTCTGATATAGTTTTCTTTACTTCATCAATTTCAGCAATCACATTAACAATCTTTTCTGATTTCAATAAAACATTTCCTTTATTCTCTTTTTCTTTCTTAGATGGTTTTAATTTTATTTTTTTGCTTTCTTTCCTTGCATGTAAATCTTTAATTTTCTTACTTTTTTCTTTTTTGAGCATTCTATCCCTGTTTCCACATGATATTCCATCTAAAGTATCTATTCTGGTTTCTAATGTATGTAAAGGTGAATCCATCTCTGGAGGTATTGATGCATCAGGTAATCTGCCTTCACAGGCAGGAGATATTAATCCTGACGATGTCATAAAAACACTAGTAACCTCTCTCATTGGTCGTCCCTCCTCCTCTGTATATAATCTGATGAATAAATATTCATACTTTAGTCCTAATTAATTATTAACATATATAACAATTTTATTTTATAGCAAATATTTTATATTCAATATAAGATAAAATTATGTTCATCATAACATAAAGTTTATCTTAATATATAAAATGAGTATAATTCTAAACAAAACACATTTCAACCTTGAAAATATACAGGGTGATTCAAATCACAGAAATTTTAAAAAATTAATAACTCACAAACTATATACAGTCAGATGATGCAGTTTTTACAGAAATTCTTAGAAAGAAGTGGGATTTTTTTAGGTCTAATAAAAATTTTAGTACCAAAATAGTTACATTTCTTGTCATAGATGGTGCTGTAGNATTAACAATCATTTCTGATTTCAATAAAACATTTCCTTTATTCTCTTTTTCTTTCTTAGATGGTTTTAATTTTATTTTTTTGCTTTCTTTCCTTGCATGTAAATCTTTAATTTTCTTACTTTTTTCTTTTTTGAGCATTCTATCCCTGTTTCCACATGATATTCCATCTAAAGTATCTATTCTGGTTTCTAATGTATGTAAAGGTGAATCCATCTCTGGAGGTATTGATGCATCAGGTAATCTGCCTTCACAGGCAGGAGATATTAATCCTGACGATGTCATAAAAACACTAGTAACCTCTCTCATTGGTCGTCCCTCCTCCTCTGTATATAATCTGATGAATAAATATTCATACTTTAGTCCTAATTAATTATTAACATATATAACAATTTTATTTTATAGCAAATATTTTATATTCAATATAAGATAAAATTATGTTCATCATAACATAAAGTTTATCTTAATATATAAAATGAGTATAATTCTAAACAAAACACATTTCAACCTTGAAAATATACAGGGTGATTCAAATCACAGAAATTTTAAAAAATTAATAACTCACAAACTATATACAGTCAGATGATGCAGTTTTTACAGAAATTCTTAGAAAGAAGTGGGATTTTTTTAGGTCTAATAAAAATTTTAGTACCAAAATAGTTACATTTCTTGTCATAGATGGTGCTGTAGGAAATTGAAAGCATTTGTAATTTCTTAAAATAAGAATAAAAAAATAAAAATGTTCTTAGTGTAAGCTCTAGTAACAACTTCACAAATTATGTAATCTTATCAACTGCCATTCATGGCAAGAAATGTAACTATTTTGGTACTAAATTTTTATTACACCTAAAAAAAATCCCGCTTGAAAATCACATTATCTTACTGTAAATAGTTTGTGAATTATTAATTTTTTAAAATGTCTGTGACTTTTGAATCACCCTGTATAAGTTAAATGTTAAAACATTATATATATATATAAACAATAATAATTTTGGTAAAGATCATTTGGTTGTAATCAATTAAAAACATATAATTTAAGAACAATGTTATATTAACAACACACATTAACTTATTAGAATTCACAAATGTAATTTGCAAGAAAAAGCTAGCTACAGGATTTTTTTAACAATTATTTTTTAAAGTAATTGTTAAAAAAAAAAAAAAACAATCTTTAACAATTACTAATTCAATTCTGGGGATGCAATAGCTTTATATGGATATGATGATTAACAATTACGCTTATTTCATATTTTTCTTATTATTGTCTTAAAAAAAAACCACTAGAATCTAAATATCCATGATGCATTTTTGCAATATCAATACATTATATATAATTACACACCTTAAAAACTTTACATCATTAGTAAAGAACTTTAATATACTTAATTTTCAGACAATTGCTTTCAATCTATTACTAAGATCATCTTCAGGTCTTTCTTTGGTAATTATACTTTATATTTTTATGATATAACTAGCTAAAAGGACCTGCTTCGCTGGGTTTTTATTTGTACGTAATATAGTTTTTTTTTTATATAGACCTATATATAAAAGACTGTTTTTCTAAGTAATCTAGAATCTAGCTGCAAAGACCCGCTTCGCTGGGCAAAAAGTAACGATAGTGAAGATTAAGATAATTACATTATAGCTAATCTTACCCGTTTTCACAAAATGCAAGAATTAGGTCCCCCGTTTCCAGACTAATTAGAGAATT